TCGTGAGAGATCTTTTCAATAGTTGAAGATAAAATCCGTATCTTTACTCACCCGTGTAATAATCCTCTCTCTATATATACTAAATGATTGATTGCATTAGATTTATAGAAAAACCCATGGGGAACATGTTGGATTTTCAATGTTCATGGACAATATATTATTATCTATGTCTAGAAAGGTAGGTTAATAATGTTCATGACGATACTCACTTTCAACTGTAATGTACTCTCACTGACAGCTTCTGAAATACTGCAAATGTCAATCAGATTTTTCACCAGATTTGTGTGAATCCTTGCTAGCTGATTGGTTGATTTAAGTCTGTCAATACACAACATTCACTCTGAGTTTACACCATCACCTCTCACTTACATTCACTCTGTATTCTCATGTTGTATATAGAGCGGATTTCGTACTGTGTGACTGTGCAAAAAACACGGTACTTTCGCACTCACTGTGACCGTACCGTGCCGTAGCAGTGATGTCTTGTTAAATCTTTATTTGTATTTGGAAACCTAGAAGGCAAGGTTCCCTGAACGTGCCGTGCTGTGTCCGTGTTGTGATCTGTGCCGTTGCACAGTCATACGAAATCTGCTCTATGTTCTTTTATTGATAGACTCTTGATGTCATGAAATGTTCAAAACTTTACAGCAAATCACTGTGCTCATTTATAAGTCCATTTRAGTTTTTGAACATTTTGTCATTACATGTACATAAAACAAAACTCGGAATGATTTTCTGTGAATAGTTGCATCTCCACGTTAATTGTATTTGAAATGTAAATCATTGATCTTGTTGTTGATTTTGAAATGAAGGTTGTGCTCCCAGACATGGAGTTYTTTGTCAATCTTGGTGATTGGCCTCTGGAAAACCAAATCAACAAACCCTTACCTATATTGTCCTGGTGTGGTTCTGAAGAGACTGCTGATATYGTCATGCCAACATATGACTTGACAGAGGCAGCTCTTGAAACTATGGGGAGGTATGTACTACTGCTCCCTTAGGGGGAGGGGGATAGGCAGATTGGGTACAATCCCTTGAACCCCCACTCTCCTCATCGCAGATAAAACGTTCTGACCCAAAGTTCAGTGATAAAACAGCTTCAAGCATGACCTGCTTGACATAACCATTGGGCTTCCTGTGGTAACAAATTTGAGAAGGATTGCTTTACTCTGTAATTTCCCCTTGCAAAAAGGGCTGGGTCCTTTTTTAATAACGGCAAATTGTGTAAATGGGTTTTCAACCAAGGCTCAGAAACAGAACAAAAAAATTAAATGACTCTTCCATGTGGGATGTCTACTTTACAGGATGGGAGCATGCTCAGTAACTGATTAACTATTGTGTWATGTAGGGTTTCCTTAGACATGCTATCAGTACAAGCTAATACTGGACCAACATGGAAGGATAAAATCCCTAAAGCATTCTGGAGAGGAAGAGACAGTAGAGAAGAAAGATTAAACCTTGTTATCATGGGAAGAAAGAAACCTGAACTCTATGATGTTGCTCTGACAAATTTCTTCTTTTTTCCYTATGATGAGAAAAAGTATGGTCCGAAAATGAAACATATATCTTTCTTTGACTTTTT